AGTAACTGTGTATGCCAAAGTACTCTTCTGAAATTTTCAGGAAGCTATCAGGCTTGTGTGTTGCTTTATTTAAACTGCACATGCACTCCAGGCTTTATTGCCCAGTTGCAGGAGATAATGTAGAACCTTTTTCAGAATATTTTATAACTTAATTTATGCCTCTAAAATTGTATATTATGTTTGATTCCAATAGTTTGTATATTGTGAGCTGTATATCACTTTGCTGAATAAAGCACCCTAATAAACACCTTGCACTAATGGCTCAATAACTGCACCTTGGTGGGAATCTTCTTGGTGTTTTATGTGAGACAAACTTTTGTTTAAAGTCAATATATAAAGTCATCCAGACTGACCTTGATTCTTATTCCTAAGTATTGCTTAGGGTTTGTTATAAAATTACAATACATTCTAGTTGTGTGTCTGTAAATGCCAAAGGACAAGTTCCTGCAAGAGGAAAATGGTCTGACGGTTGGGATAACATGCTGTCTAGATAACTACTGGAAGACACTCCTCTCCTCATCAGAGAACCATTTTAAGTGTAGTTTGTTCAGTAAAAGGAGCCTTAATAACCTGGGTGAACTACATGATTCAGGTACTACTTAAAAATTAATACAAAGAATAAAGTCAAGTGTCTTCCACAACACACACGGATCAAACTTTCAAATCCTGAGAGGTGCACAAGGTGCCCAGTTCCATGTTGGGGCACTCAAATTAGTATTAAGACACCCTCAAACTTTGTATTGGATAAGAATGCTTAAAGTAGGGCATGGGAAGATTTTTTCCCCCTGAGAAATTCAAAGATGCGAGATTAAAGACGCTTGTTTCCTACTTCAAAAAAACCCTCCCCTCCTCCCCCTACATCTTGTGCTTATTTGGTCCCTATGTCCTCAATAGTGGTGAGTTTTCAGAACTGTCCAGACTTCACACTCAGAGTTGACTCTGGGCCATTAAAAGTAGGCTTACATCATGGCATATTTTCCAGAGAAGAATTATTTGAGTCTTAATTCTTATGGAGTGAAGTCAGAGCGAGCAAGAAGGAATCTGGCTAAATAAGCGTGTTGTATTATTCTGGGAATCGTTACGCCTGTTTGAAACTGCTTTCTGTGCTTTTGGAGGACTCTAAGGGTATATCTATACTTACCTCCGGGTTCGGCGGTAAGCAGTCGATCTTCTGGGATCGATTTATCGCGTCTTGTCTAGACGCGATAAATCGATCCCGGAAGTGCTCGCCGTCGACGCCGGTACTCCTGCTCCGCGAGAGGAGTACACGGAGTCGACAGGGGAGCCTGCCTGCCGCGTGTGGACCTGCGGTAAGTACCTTGTAGTTCGAACTAAGGTACTTCGACTTCAGCTACGTTATTCACATAGCTGAAGTTGCGTATCTTAGTTCGAACTGGGGGGTTAGTGTGGACCAGCCCTGAGAATCATCCAGAATGGGATGAAAGTTGAAAGTTGAAAGGAGAAAGAGGTAAGAAAACAAGGAAGGGTGGGGACTGATAATTTGGACTGGAGACAGAAGAGAATTTAGGTACATCAGGCAACTGAAGAGCACTAGAAACTCAGGAAGTTTCAGGGTAATTTGGTCTAGGATTAGGTTTTTAAAAATTTACATCTGTAATTGCTGCTTAAACTCTTCTTCCCGTCTTCCACATTTACTGGTATGCTATGAATACGATAATGTAATTCTTTGTTTTCATTGCCAAGCGAGTCCTGTGAAGGGGCTAACTGGTTACGTTGGCACTTTCATACTGCATGGATGACTCTTAAGAAGCTAGATGTAAAGTTGCCCACCTCACTTAAACAAAAGAGTGCATTATACCAATACAGCCATTATGGTATACTCTGTTAAAACCAGCTGTGTGCACATAAACTGATTTGTGTTAATCAAGTGAATTACCATTTCAGTATAAATTGTCTAGTGACTTCAGACAACATTGCAACGAGAGAGATCCTTTCCTGGTCATCTGCTGCAAAATATTAAGATTTTTAGAAGCTAGTGTTTTCAGGAACGTTTCATCTATTGAAGAGTCCGTCAAAAAGAAGCTTTCATTGCCTTATATACTGTTCGCTGAAATCCAGTGAAACTTACACATGAATAAAATATGAATTTTAAAGAGACTCTCACATTTAGAGTAAAAATTCAGTATAAGTAAAGTACTCATCCAAAAGCAATTGACTTTGGCACCTATTTTCTGAATGATCATTCTTATTAAGGTATTTGTATTTTGAATACAAATGTTCTCTTAAAATCCCAGTTTCAGCTTGATCCTGCAGTGACCATATAAGCCTTAGTTTGATATTGGTTTGTTATAATGGAAATAACTGCTATGAAGACCTAATGCCGACTTTGCAGGATTGAGTAGGGGAGGAATATGCTTGTTTTAAGTACAAAACTTGATGATATTTAGAAAATTGCAGGAGGAACTACTGTAATGGATGCTAAAATTCATATTAGTTCCTTGTGGTCACAGAGCCACAGATTTTTAAAGCTGAAAGGGACCAGATAGTCTGACCCGCGTAACACAGGCCAGAGAACCTCACCCAATAATTTTTGCATCAAGCCAATAATGTCTATTTGAGCTGTAGCACAGCTTTAAGAAAAATATTCAGTCTTGATTTCAAGAGTTCAAGTGATGGAGAATCCATCATATCTTTAGGTAAGTTGTTCCAATGGTTAATTACCCTCGTTGTTAGAAAATTGAGCTTTATTTCTAATCTGAATGTGTCCATGTCCAGCTTCCAACCATTAGATCTCATTTCCTGAAGCATTAATGAGCCCTCTACAATTAGAAT